TCTACTTAAAAGATGGCAAAGGGGAACTGTGAAATGATTGTGTTGAAATTTCTTTCCGCCTGATGAAGTGACAAATTTATGAGGTGTTGACGGTAGTTCAGACCCGATTGGTCTGCTTGGAATGCAAATAAGTACAAGGAAAACTATCATAAAGAAAAACAATATTGAAATGAGTGTATTGAGCAGAAGTGGAGAAAAGAAGCTTTCTCACCGTAACTTTAGACAAACTTGTCTAAATCTATTTGCTATATAACGGAACTTTGTAAACATTTTAAAAACTTGTTTTTACCTAAAATTCTATCATATATATCTCATGACCGATCTACCCAAACTATGTACACAAGTGCTGCTTATATAACATCTAAAAACTCGTCGTTGATTCTCGTACGAATTTTCTTAGCTTGTGTAGCTATTTTGGTACCGCAACGGTCCAAATCGGTTTAAGGTCATGACACACTTCATATGTGTTCGAAACTTATACCCCAACTTATAACCTTTAAATGGTTAAAATTGGTTAAAAATGGTTAATATCTGTACTCTCATAACCCGGATGTATTAATATGATGAGTTCGTTCACTCCGCTTTGTTCTAATTTTTGTATAAATTTAATATACCTTGGGACCAGAAAGCAATAAACATATGCCACCTCTTTTTCCAATCATTGAAACATGCCTTATAGGAGCTGTCCGGGATCGCCTTCAGTTCCCTCTGCTAATTTTCTTTTACGGCCTCAATCGAGTCGAAACCGTTTCCATGGAGTGCTAACTTGAGTTTTGGAAACAAAAAAAAGTCGCTTGGGGCCAAATCCGGTGAATACGGTGGTTGAACGATGGCATTGAACGAGTTTGTGGTCTTAAAATCGTTCTCAACTACGGCCTATTTGCAAAAAATTCAGTTCTCAAACGAGCTGCTTCACGGCTTTTTAGCTTATGTGCCATCTCTTTAACACTCGCTTGATTTCGAGTAACTTCACTTTTTTGATGTTATCGTCCGTGGTAGACGTCGAAGGACGACCGGAACGAGGCATGTGTTCGACGCTTTCTCGACCATCCTTAAAGGCTTTGTACCAGTCGTAGACTTGAGTTTTCGATAGAATGCATTTACCATAAGCCTTTTCTAACATTCGCAATGTTTCCGCACATGAAATTTAGTTTCAAACACAAAATTTGATGCAAATAGTTTGTTCAATATTTTTTTCCATTGAGAAAATCGCAAAACACTACTGAGATCGACTAATTTCAACAGCTGCTGCAAGCCAACTGGTTGACAGATCGCGCTCATTTTTGGCATAGTGAGTAAGAACAGTGCTACCAACTTAACGAAAGAAAAATGCTGAAAAATATTTAGCGCGGTCAGTTTATATGAAAATTTCCAGAAACTTTCTGATCACAATGTATGTACTTCCCGTTAACCCTCGGTATTACTCGGGTTTTTTCGCAGTTTATTTATATTTTGGAGAAAATCAAATTTGAAAATGTTCTGAACTACTTAAATATTCATCTGTTCCCTGAATTTATTTCATATATAAGTAAATTTCAACCCTCAAACTTTGAAGGTGTATGACAAATAACATCAAAATATTTTTTTATGAATGAGCCAACACTTTCTATTTCACTTTGCACTTTCTTTTTCAACTAACGAGACGCTCACTTATAAAAGTTTAAATTCATCCCCGCTGGCAAAGTGAAAAAGTTCGAGAAGAAATGGATTTACGTCTAGCGTAGCCATACAAACAGCAGCACTACAACTACAAGCGATAGCGATCCTCCTCGGACAATGTGAGTCTCGTAAGTACCCGAATATGCACTACAAATACAGGAACAAAAATAAAAAAACGACAAATTGTTGCAACTTTGTAGCATAACGCAAGGCGTTTTGACACATTTGGAAAGTGCATGCGAGCCATTTAAGCCATCACCTAGGCGCCCCGAAATGGTCATGCCAAATGCTTACCAAAAGCGCTGCGGGACCTCGTTCATGCTCGGTGTGAAGAATGACCGTTGTCAGGATTATTATATAATAGTTGCATTTAAAGTATCGGTGGGGAATAACATGCAGCAAATAGTGGCCACTCTTAGTGCAACAATGGATAAGAAGTTTGTAAGAATTTCCGCAACTTAGTCGCCACGGGAGAGCTAAAGCAAAGTGATTGCCAATTGCGAAGTTTTGAGCCAATTTGCACTTCAGCACGAGTGTGTGTTTGGTTTGTTCTATTCAGCATTTGCGAGAGTTGCAATGCGTAGGTGAATATATATTTTCGTCAATTATGTGAGAGTAAGCAAATTTTATTTAAAATTGATGAGTTTAAAATATATTTTCATTACTTTGATAAAATATTGTAGTTCACTGGTATTTAATAATGTATGCTTATATGCCGATAGTACTCAAGTTTTGTCAAACGATCTCTTGAACCTGTCGACAGAAATTATTCGCGGATTCAGGAGAGGTAAACCCGCTACGGCCACTGGAGGTGGATTGAGGAAACAGCGAGTAACAGTAGTCAAAATCACATCACAAACCAAAGTGGTTAATTTTAAACACCCATAATTCGTCTTCGTCTTCAGAAAATATTTGAAAGCCTGTATGAGTATTTTGAAAGGGCTCAAAGAAAACTTGTGAATAGTAGCGAAAAGATGTGATTGAATTCTCATCAAGACGTGATCGAATTCGGACCTTACAGCTAGGAACAAATTGCTTACATTTGACATATAAGTATATAGATCGTTCGACTACCCCTCTTCAGACACACGTCTTCAAAGTTATGCGTTGTTGTTTTGTGTGAGCCCATATTGGTCCACTCTTGCTAACATATTCTGGTCTCTCTCGTAAACCTATCTTTTTTGGGCGACTATTTCGAATTCAAGAAGACTTAAAAAAATCAAAAACCAAACAAACATTTTGTATCGAAAATTTCATATTTTTACTTTCAAGGTCATACATGCTTAGTCGATACAGAGTTGTGTCAGAAATAAATAACGGCGTCGGTTTCAATGAAGTTATAAATAAACCGAAATCATTTCCGACAATTCTTTGTGTCCTTTGAGGAAGTGTGCTTATCGGCGCATTTTCCCTGCTTTTACATACGTACATCTATGAGTTATAATCCCCCGAAAAGGAGGTCAAAAAACATATAAATCAATGCGAATAAACAAGTGACCGAAAACAAAGCCAAACTACTTGTCAGAATCAACATTTGTCTAAACCAATAACAACTAAGCATGTACATATGTGAAACTCTTGCACATACAACAACAAATATGAATTAAATTTCGGCACAAAAAGAACACGCCAATAAAATCCGTAAATCATTTAGACGAAGCACGCATATACTGCTATGCATTAAATGGAGCGCATGGCTTCGCGCCAACTAACAGTAGCGAAACCAGTTTGTCGCCCATCTTCAGCAGCTCAGTTAGTCAGTTCATCGCGTTTTGTGTCAAAAAGTTGAATGAAGCCAAACTTTCGCAGCTCCCCGTCGCGAGTGCTACGCTTAACTGTTTCGTCGCCGATCTACCTTGCAGCTGTTGGCTTGTAAATAGCTTGTGCGTGAATATGATTGACTTTGATGCCGCTTACCAGCTTTGTTGTTGCAGTGTTATTTCTATTTAAAGCGAACTGCGCGAAATTAATTAATATTAATGATCGTTAACGCCGTCGGGGACTTGTGTATCTGCTCGAATCAATTGGTTCGTGTATAGGTAACGGTTTTTTATTTTCGTACTAGTGGCATATTAGCATATAGTAAAATTTTCTTTGTAACCAAGCTTGCTGATATTTGTATTTTGATGTTTTGTCTCTAAGTGTAAAGGGTGGTGCCGAAAAAAGTTCTGAGCGAGGTTGGCATTAAAACCCAAAGTATATACTCGTATGAGTAAAGATCTTACAAATCTTAATTTAAATGCAGCTTTGTTAAGTTAAAAAAGAATAAAAGACCTTAACTTCGTTTGAACCGAAGCTATAATACCCTTTACAAATACCCTTCTCCTTACAAGAGCTTGATTCCGATCGTTCAATTTGTATGGCAGCTATATGCTATAGTGGTCCGATATCAGCAGTTTCGACAAATGAGCCGCTGCTTAGTGAGAAAAAGATGTGAGTAAAATTTCAGGTCGATATATTTATAAAATTGTGGGACTTTTATGTTCGAATTTTATCATCTGTTTCGAAGCTAAATTAATTTCATAAGCCGCTTGTTTCCGACACACCCTTTGCTTTTATGAAACGAACGAAGGAGAATGCAAAAAATAAAACAAACCTAGTCAACCACAAGATTGAATGACTAATTTGTAATTGGATTGGAATTCATGAAAACCATAGTAAAAATAAAAATAATACTAAGCAAAGCTGCTTACTCGTACATTCATTTATACATTGTCGAAAGCGTGAATCCTTAGGTTTAATATTATAATATCTTTCGTCTGTGTAAGAGGAAAGTTTTGCTACATACTTAAATATTAGATATTGGTCATCTACGAATTTTTTTAGTGCGCTTTTTAAATTTAAATAAATTTCGATAGTGAAAGCTTTTCGGTATTTTTTGCATGGAGAAATATTTTTTGGCGAAATTAAATCAATATTAATTTTTGCGCTCTTGGCATTCAGATGCAAATGCTGATGTATGTACGTGTATTATAACGTATGTGTAATGGTTTAGGTCTCTATGAGCCCAAATAATTGTAGAAAAAATTTATAAGTAAGGATTATTTAATACTAAGTTTTCTTGAATCCTTATAAAAGTTACTTACTTACTTTATAAAACATATTTTTAGCAATTAAAAATTGCTTTGTTCATTTTGATCTCTCACTAATTAATTTTATGTTACTCCGGTTACCGATAACATTTCCGATTTCTCATACTTTCATTTAGTCTTCTGAACATAGGTTACTATAAAAGGGCAATGTTGAGTCAATATGCGTCCATTTGATAAATAAAAAGGCGGTGAAACATTGGCACAGAGGGCAAATATTTTGAAGTAGAGGATATAATTTTTAGCTGTAAAATGAAAGAGGCTCGTTCGATTCTCTTACTCGCGCTGTTAGCATGCCTAAGGAATCTCAATGTAGTTCAAGGTAAAGAACTTAATAAATAACTAACTCTCTAAGAGATCTGACCGAAGTTCTCTATCCCTAACACAGGACACCGTTTTGTTTTGCGCCCATTGAGCGCACAGGAAGTCTATCAGCTGCTAGCCAATACGGGTCGTAGTAATGACATACCGCAGGGTCGCATTGTCACACAGGGACTCACCTTCATCGGTGACATCACACGCCGTATTATCGGTGTCGGTAAGGAAACGCGCATTTCTACGCAAGAGGTTTGCTATGAAACGCGTAGCGCACGGAGTCTAGCCGAGGCTGAAGCGGTCTACGAGTCTTATGTAGCGGCCAATAGTCGACCTGAGGCTGATAGGCAGCGTAAACGAGTGCGTAATAGTGAGGTGGGGCGCATTTTGAAGCTGAAGAAGCGTAAAAAGTTACGTGCAGATGAAGAAATCAGGGGAAATCAACGCATTCGAAATGAAGATAATGCGCCATTAAGTATGCCCGGCTTGGGCTCTCGCACGGCTACACCTACTTATAGTACGGACTCTTCCATTTATTCTTCACCGCAGCGCGCTTCGCTCACTACGGACCCAGCTGTAACAACTATGATGACCAAAACAGATGCGACTGTGACGACAAATCCCTCTACAACAATGAATCGGAATAACGATGTCACGATCACAACATTCACAACATCCACATCGCCAGAGGGCGCCATTAACTGCATTGTTATTAAAAAGAATGAATAAAATGAGTGAAGAAATGTTGAAATAATTTAGTAATTTGTTTTCGCTTAATCTTAGCTTAGTTGGGTGTGTTAGGTGTTTGAAAAAATACTTGAGCGGCAATGTTGACTGCTTTAATCTGCTACTTTTCGGTGAGAAGCCACAACAATCTTTCGTTTAATATTAGGAATAGAGGACAGAAAAATAACCTGGTTGAGTTGTAGCTGGAAGTGAGGTTCCCTTAAGAAGCGTATTTGGCAAAATAATTTAGAGCTGCGAACATTAAAGAATGACATAAAATACTTTTTTGATACGGTCCAGTTGTTGACAGTAGAAGTCCGAGTTAGGTGTAGATGCATAGCAAAACCTCGCTGATTATCAGATTTGTCTACGTCGGTTTTCCTATGACCTTGTTGCCAGTGACTCCCTTTTCATCACCAGTAATCATTCGCTTCAGAAATTGATTATATTTATTGCGATTCACAGATGGCATTCAATCCCTGAGGTCTTTTTGCGCCAAATAATAAAAATATTAACAAATTATTTATAGTTATCCATATTAAAATTCCATGTTACCGGCCATTGAAATGTTCCAGAAAGTGAAAGAAGCCCCAAAAGCAAATGAAGCCATGTCTATATAGCTCAAGTGCTTGCCAGAGATCTTAACAGTTGTTCTCGAAAACGAATCACTCAAATTCGAACAAGCTTTACACAGTCGTTTCGAATCAGAATGCTATTAATAATTAGGTTACAAATAGATGGGGATTCATGTGAATTTAATATGGAGTTGTCCATTATGACAAGTGATTCGCCTTACCTCTGCTCGTGCCCTTCAACAGATTTTTTAGGGAGGTAGTCGATGCTACTGTAACTCCCAAAAACTTCGTTACTACGGACTATTGTACACCTCAACTTCCTGTCTTACGGTCTATACCTGGTATACAAGTCATAGAACAAGTTAATTATTTCCATACTTTAAGATACCGAAAGTAAGTCAGGGTAAGCGCTTCGAACTCAGATATGCTCAATGTAGCGTATGCACTTCAAATTCGCATTTTAAGAATTTACGTAACACCGTGGTTTAGTAGTAAAATACTTTCGCTATCGTTGGGTGAAATTAATTTTTCATATCTATGAGAAAGCGTTTGTGCCGCTAATTGTGCTTGTTGTCAATAAAAGATGTGCAACTGTTGCGCGGTGCCTTAGTCAAATAGTAAAAGTTTTGCGCTGAAGATTTAGTTGCGAAATTGCACGCGCGGGTAACGGTCAACAAAGCGAAATTTAGCAATAAGATATAGTAGATATATTATATATTATAGCAATACTTAAATTTACAAGTGGAAATATGCGGCTTCATTTGGTGATCTCAGTGTTCGCGCTTGCGTTAATCAGCATCACTTTGCCAGCAGAAGGTGAGCTTTGGGACAATGTTATTATGAGAATAACGTTGGAATGGTTTTTGGAGTTTTTCTCATTAATCTGTATACAGTTAACTGAGAAATCTAATCTCGATAACGATAAGACAATAATTTTGGCGAGAGGAGAAAGTGGATATCATTTATTTTTTCTTATTGAATTTAAAAATCAAATCTAAATTATACAAAATAGAAATTTTCATGTGAGAATACAGAAGTAAATCAATAGGAGCATCGTAAATATTCAATTGAATTCAGAAATGTTTGACATATATTAAATATTATTGAAATTCCATTTATTGTTACCAGTTTGGTAAATTGAAATTTCTTTCATCTAATTTATTAACATTTTTCAAACAAGTGGCAACGCTGCTATCTGCTATAGATAGGGTTCTTAAATATTTTTAGTCTTGGCATCAGATTAAAATTGTAGTATTTCAAGTATTTCAATTGAAAAAACTTTTTTAACTGGCAACGCTTGTCAAAAACTACTTCCTCTGCAAGCATGCTTCAATTCTATAGTGTGTTGTCCATGTTGTAATAATTTCTTATTTGAATAAACTTAATTAAATTATTATAATTTTTCTAAGAATTTATATATTTATACTAAGTTAATTTATCAAACTAAAAATTTGTGCTATGATACACCTCTAATGTAGACCAAATTTAGGATTCGTCGAATTTCGTCCAGCACGAGTACAACACATTAGCTGTGTAACTCTGAGAAAATAATCCAATTTGGTCTTTATTTGCAGGCAAACGTGTATCCTTAGTTCCCCTTTCGGCTAGTGAAGTGTATCGCTTGCTGCGTGAGGCGGGCCGCGAAGATGCAGTGCCCGAGGGACGCGTGGTCACGCAGGGTATAGCCGCGGTATCCGGTTTTGCCGTTGGACTGGCTAAGGGCATTGGTGGTTCATTGCTTGTAGACTTGGCTACTAATCTCTTAGCAACAAATGGTCAGAACCAAGCCGGGCAAGCTGAAGAAGTCTGCTTCAATAGTCGCAGTTTGAATGAGATCAACGATAATGATGATGAGGACCCCGAAGGAAGAAAAAATGATGGCGATGAAATTATATCGGCCGATTATTCAGATTATGATAATTATAATCCGGAGAGGAGCGAGGTTTCCTCGCCATCTGCAACCAACAATGACAGGGACTACGGCGATGACGAAGACGTCAACAATGGAGACGAAACCAAGAGCGGCACCGTCTCAAGTACAGCAACGGGCACGGGTGATTCGATAAATTGTGTGGTGGTACGGCAGTGAACTCGCGCTATGTTGGGTTGAGTTTTTTTTAATATTAGTTTATTTAATGTATTTATTTATTTAATGTCTATAATAAAATGAAAATGAAATCACGTTGACGAGGTGTGTACTAGATACGCGCTCAACCACTATTAATTCACACAGAAATTTTCGTCGTTGTGTTCAGAGTAATACTCGTGCTTTCCGCAGTACACTTTAATTCAATTACGAGGTTGTATGCAGACAGACAAGTTTTCTGCCAAAGGCGAAAATTCTACAGCAACATTCGGCAGCAACTAGACTGCTTTTGTTTTAGCATTTAGCGATGTTTTATCGGTGTGTACGTGTGAAATCGCAGCAAAGCCCAAAGTTCCGGTGATAAACACTTGAAGGAGCACCGGGAAATAAAACCAAAATTACCAGGTCGTGCATATAAGGATGAAGGAATTAAGAACGGCACACAAATGCGGATTCTATCGTTGTATGTGTGTGTGTGAGGGCATAAAAATGAGAATAGATATGCATGACCAGCAGCTCATCAGCGCTGGGATAACCAACACTCACGCATGGCCCGTTTTATTATACACCGGATGTGGGTGTGCTTGTATGTGTGTGCCTGTATGTGCATATTTGTTCGCAATTGTTTCGCTGAATGGAAATCGCTTTAAACGACTTGCGTTTGCCACCGTGATTTCAGTGGCCTCACGGCTGTGCCAAGTGTCACTCAAGCTGTAAAGGGAGAGGATGGCGGTAGTGCAAAACACTGTCAAATTACGCGTGCTGACTGCTGTTTACTGGTTGCCGATTATTAGTGCATGTATGTGTGTGTGTAGCTCGCACATTCATAGCTCTAAAGACAATTGTCTGCTCCGCTGCCAGCGGTTTTTGCTTCGCCGATTTTCTTAACAAGCACAGGAGCGAAAAGCCAACCTTCCGAACACACTGATGTTGGTTAACCGATTTAAATACATATTTGTATACGTATATGTGGGTGTGTGTGTGAGTGTGGGCATACAAGTATCGTAGTTATAAGTAGTTGACTCTTTTATTTTACGATTATTAAGTCTGTGCTGTCAAAGCGCGCATGTGTGTGTGGGTGTGTGTGGAGTGAGCAATAGCATAACAAGTGGACGCGGCAGCAGAGAGACTGGCGTTGTGCTTAGCTTCTCGTGTGCTCACCATATCATTCTCTGCTTCAAAATATCAAATAATAATTTCACGAAGGCATACCTCTCAAAGCAAGCGCGAAACAGGAAGGTGTACAAAAAGGGAACGCATAATGATATTTAGGCAAAAAACAGCATAATCAGCAACAACAAAATCGTATAACCATTGAATACAATAACCAAGCAATAGAAATGCGTTGATGAGTAAATTTGCAGTTCACATTTTATTTATTTTTTGTTGGTAATTCATTTCAATGACTCGGTCATTAATTTTCATGGGTCTCGCACACATAAATATACATAAACACACACATACTAATGCGTATTTACATGTATGTGTATTTAGTTGTTGGTGTACCAACATAAATGAAGTTGTGGAGTGACTCGCTAATTTCAAGCAACCTCAAATGGTAGGGAGTTACACCTCCTTCCCCGTAAAACGTTGGCGCGATTGTCAGGTGCTGAAGCATAATGGATTTGTGCATTGTTTCGCTGGTGCTTCAGATAGCTATTATGTCTTTTTATGATTTATGTCTTCAAGACGACTTTTACTTTGAGAAATGTAAAATGGAATTGGATTTGGTGGCAATAATAAAAACACTTCTGAGCAATTATTTAATTTATTACTAGTATTAGGGTGCGGGGTATTCATAAAAGCCAGCGATACGAAATTATTACATTTATGTATTCTCGAATTAGAATATATAATACCTCGAAGTTAGTTACTGCGTTTACAATTGTATACAAGAATTAAGGGTATACTGAGCTTGTTTATTTTATCTTTGTCCACTTTTTTTTAAAATATTGCTATTTACAATATCAATACCACTCTGGATGTAAAGATAATGACATTTGATACCTGCCATCTGACAGCCATTTGATAGTTACTATCTGACGACCATTTGAAAGCTGTCATTTGATATGGATGTGGTATCCATCTGACAACCGATTGACAGCTAACAACCTTTGTTCATTTGACAGCTGACACTTGAAGTCCGTTTAAGATTTTTCATCTGGCATCCCTTTTACAGTTACCATCTGATATCAATTCGGCAGCTGCCCTTTGAGGTCAATCTGACCATCTAATTTTAATTTGATATCCGTTTAACAGCTATCATCTGACGTGAATTTGACATCTGTTTGACATTTGCAATGCACTTGACAGCCATCGGACGTGTATATGACAGCTGTCATCTACCATCCATATGAAATTTATTTCACAGCTGTCATCTGACGTCCATCTGTTCGACAGTAGTCATGCGACGTCAATCTTATATCCGTTTGACAGCTGTGAGCTGACGTCCACTTGAGGTTTGCCATCTGTTTTCAGTCTGATATTCGTTTGACCGCTACTATCTGATGTCAATCTGAAATCTGTTTGTACTTAAAAATTAAGGACGCTTTTGATAACATTGCTTACGGATTAATTTTTTGGCTTTTAAGTCAGTTTCTTTATTTTTGAAATTATTTTGTTCACAAAATTCTCGCCAGCTTTTTGTTTGGTGATAAATACGTTAATAAGTGAGTCTATTTAAAGCTGTCTCTGTTTCAGTTACAAAAACGTGTATTTCGAATTTTGCTCCCATAATAATTTAAGGAGTGGTACTTGAGTACAATGCATTAATTTTGAAACCATATAAATATATAAGCTCTTATCTAGTAAAATCTGGAACTAAATTAACAAAAGGTGGCGTGTCGAAGTCAAAGAAAAGTAGAGAGGATAATGGTTTATGTAGTTTTGTTCTCGATAAAGTAGAAAAACCAAAAACAGTGTACAACTTGGGTTCCAGATTACAGTTGACTTGTACATTTTCGATGGGAAGTATTTAAGAAAAACTATCTTTCATAAGTGCGGAAATTTTATTAGTCCGCATTATATTTCCAAAATGCAGAAAAGCTTTATGAGAAATTCACTAAAAGTTGTTATTTTTAAACGACTGCTGCATTCAATGACTTTACCTTTTTGTACCGGCAGTGCCCATACAACACACTTTTTATAACTTAACATCTTCTCTAATAATGTAAGAGTTCGTGAAACTGATGTCTCTTTTCAGCCTTTTGTGTCTCAGAACATTTAATAATAAGTTCATGATAAGGATGTTCTTAGAATGTAACATATATTTATACAGGTATATACTTTCATGTATGTATGTGTGTGTGCATGTATGACATGTACGCATTTAACTTGTAACTTAACAAAACTTAAGTAGGTAAATAGTTGGAAAAAAGAAGCACCAAAACTAAATGTTACAAATGATATGGGAGGAAAGTATCAGCAAAATGGCGGCGAAGACTTCTTCAGGTAGCAAAGTGAAAGAATACTAATAAACTACTCGCAAAAGTTGCTTGTGCGAGAAAATTCTAAACTTCGCCGTGTTATGTTGTACTTTGTTGGTGTACTTTACAAGAAACCCTATCAGGGTGGAGAATAAGTAACTAGCACATTTATCGCCTCAAACAAATTGCCTCAATTAAAAACTTTCACTTGCAGTGCAATCGCGAGAAATGAGAAAAAGCGCAAAATAACGGCAAGACTTGCACTGCTTATAAATGTGAATGTGTGTTTGTGTGTGTGCATGTAAATAAAAATATTTACTTGTGCGTGTGTTCCAGTAAATTAATGCACACTTTATTCTGTGTTGCAAATATTTATATCAATTAAGTTATCTTAACACTCGGTTAGTTTAGCGTGTGCTAAGATTCGAACTATCACCAAATACCAGTACTGGGAGGCATTAGAACATAATGTAATATACAAATCGATTATATGCTTTAAGACAATATAAGTAGTTTCAAATCTGAATTTTAATATCACGAGTAGTTTATTTGAGCTGCATAATGCTAAAGTGGTATATAATGGAAGTCTCTGAATAAAGAGTGTTTCTGATCAAAACTGAACTGTACTTTCAGTGATATCTACTTTTCGCTCAGAGTATTAGAGTATTCGCCGAGCTGGCGGCAAGCAGCGCTTTGTTTTGGTTTTAAGAAGTCCTACAAAGTCCAGTTTTGTGCATATCTTATACATAAAATAAGAAAACATGTTTTTTTACAGAAATCTACGGATGATTCACAAAGCCACCTATGAACCTCGAATTTGAAATATAGGTTAATGTAACCAATAAAAATGTTGATAGCTTTGGAGACTACAAATAGTTATCCTATATTATTAAATTATTTATTTAAATACCCTTTTGCTATAATTTTCCACTTGTTTTTTTCTTTCTTCTTTCTTCCTTAATTTGGGCATTTATGGTTATGGGAAATTTTTTGCTAAGTTTAAGGATTATTTCTCTTCGGCCAGGTGTGGTGAGTTATTTCAAATCTATGTGGTGGCTCTGTAAGAGAAAAAATATTTGCATGCGAAAAATTTTTGACACTAACTGCCGTTATAAGAGAAATTGGTTTTCAGAATTACTGAAGAAAATTTGAATATTTCTTTTACTGACCTAAGACAAAGACTCAAAGTTGTTGGCGCATTTCTAAAAAAAAAAAAACAAATATTTCAATAAATGATCGAAAAGTTGTTTTGAGCACAAACATAAATTATTAATATTTACTCCCTTCCAAACAAAAATGGTCCTTCGAACAGAGCAAAGCTTTTAAAAGAAGTTGTTAATATTTCGAAAACTTTCTCAACTTTTACCGCGAAACTAAAGTCAAGATTTCTGGAAATCTTTCATAATTTGAATTATAAACTGCATTTCCGGTTTGCTCGGTTGAAATATTCACCGGTTTGCTCAAAAACTGACATGCCAATTCTATTGTTGTTTTGTGTTTTCGAACTAGTTGCTCTTGCGCCGAATTCTCTTTTGCGCTCTTATATTGTGCTCTTTGCTCATTTGCGAACTAAAGTCATTCGAAGTGTTTACTCGTTGTTGACATGTGTTCACTTCGTTTGCCATCAAAGCAACACGAATCATATACAGCTCGTGCACTCGTTTTTCTTGCGCCCCTTTTGCGTCTGCGGCAATGTACTCGCACAGATTTGCCACGAAGCCGCGGCTGTACTGTGCTGCGACAGGCTGTCAACCATAGCCGCAGTTGGAGCTGGTAGCCAGTCAGTAGTTTCATGCTGTGTGTCAAGTGTGTTGCACGCATTCGCGCGCTCGTGGCGAAAGCAAATGCAAGCGAAATTAATTCTGATCTAACAATGCAAATAAAATAAAGTAACAGCAATAAATAGTGGGATAATTGTTGCAAGTACAGCTGTGAGTTTTAAAAAAAATTATGTTCGGTATTATCGAGGAGTTATGTGAAGTGCCAGTCTAAAAGCAAGCAGCAATCTTGCAACACACTTGTGGCCTAAGCTTTACTCAAAAACTAAAGCTTGCTGAACGACTGGGATTGTGTGTTGGTGAGACTTAAAAAAGATGCTTATTGCAGCTTTGGTACTGTTACAACTTTAGGGCGTTCAATGCTGTTGCCTACAAGTAGGCGCAATAAGATAAATGACATCTAGACATGATTTAGCCAAACCAGTGTTGCCTCAACATGCTTGTGCTTCTGAAGTAAATAAATGAGATTACAGTCATCACCAGCGTTGGCAGGTGAAATAGCGAAGAAAAAAATAAAAAAGTAAAGAACAGCGAAAGCCAAAATTTTATGTAAGCAAAGTTAAAAGTAGAGCAGGTTGCTCGCGACATTGATATAAATTGAGTGCCATTTATGCTTGAAGTGAAATATTATCTGAAATAAGTAAGTGTTATAAATGGTGTGGCATATTTTTCGGCGCACACCTGCATAACTGACAGCAAAAGTAATGAGTGTGTCGCAGCAGAGCGAAAGAAGACAATAAAAATCTGAAGGTGAGCACTTTTGCAAGAAAAAGTTGAATATTACTTAGAAATTAAATGAATTAGAAGTGCGCGAATAGTGGTTTTAATTGATATTGAAGGTTCTGGCAAACATTAAGTATTTGCGCTGAAAAGTATGCAATACCCAATGTGAGTAATAAAACGAAATGTGATAAGTGTAGAAATATTATGAGGAAATAATTTGCATAATTTGCATTTTGAGGCGGCGATGCGTTAAAGAGCGCAAACACGAAACAAGTGGAAAAACAGAAAGGGAAATTAATTGCTCTAATAAGTGTTCATGAAGAAAATTTATGCTGTGTCATGTTGATTGATGACCACATAGGTGAAGGTGTTGTTGCATGTGCTATTGGACGTAACATAACTGTATAATAAAGATTACCATATCATGCGCTACAACAACAAGTGTTGTTTTGAAAGTGCCAGAGGAGTTTAAAGAAATCCCACAAAGTAACTAAATAAACAGGGAAGCTTGTTTTTAAAAAATATCAAATGTTAAAGTTACTACTAAAATATAGTTGTAAATGTAAACCACGAAAGAGTAGATAAAATCCGAAAATACTAAAAGAAATTCAATTTGACCCATTTAAAGATTGTCGCGTAAACACTGTAACGCGCTGAAACGTGGTTAAACCGCCATTAAAAGAACAATTCCGTGTTTTTGAGCAAGAAGTACAAAAAAGAAGAAGCAGTCACGGGGAAAAACTGCAAAAAATTGTGAAAGAGCGAAATCACGTCAACAGCAGCAAAAGCAAAAATTACACCTACACCAGGCACTCAATGGCTGCAGCAAAAGCAGCGTGCGCTTGAAGTCGAGTTAAGTGTTTACTGCGCGCCCGGAGGTAGGCAACAACAGTGTGGTAGCTGAGAATCGGTGAGTGAGTGGATTGGGGAGCGCTACCATTCAGCCAAACAGCTTACAATTCAAACTTTCGTCTGCCCGCCTGGCTGTCTGCTTGGCTGCCCACCACATCTCCACTTGGTCGCCTGCCAGCCAACAATTCACCAAACCAACAAAGCGCACAAAGCGAATGAAGTGAGCAGAGAAAACATTTAGGAAAAGCGAGAAAGTGAGAAAAAGGAAAAGCATTTTGGGTTATTAGTCCCGGGAGTGTTTTTTAAAAAGACCATTTTTCTGGTATTTCACTGGCACTAATTTGATGAAATCTTTAGTTGGCATTTTTTGAGTAACCCGCGCACCCTGTGTAAACCATTGTGACCGCCTCGGCTGTCAGACTTGATTTTGCCATTTTTTCGTTGTCGTTGTTGTAAAACGCCGATTGTGTCCATTGCGCCGAGTCATCATATTAGCTGCGGCACAGTTGTTAGGGGGAAACATTGTTATGATTGTCGGAAATGTTCACAAATATTAGAGCGAAATTGAAAAAGTAGCACATTGAAGGCGGGGTGACTAGCCCAAGGGGATACGGGTATGTGAAGTGCTGATAAACACTTGAAATACTTGCTCGTGGCGCTAAAGACTATTCGGGGCCGTGAACGAAGGCACCTCCCTCAATTACGTTGTGCGGGCGCGTGTTTTTCAATTTACTGAAATTCCCTCTCAACCGTCTAACGGCAACGAATAATCAACGGAAACAACGCAACAACGCAGCAACGCTTGGACAACTCTGCGTGCGGCGCCTATTAATCCATTGCAATTAAACAGGAACTTTGGTAGTGGCAGTATCTCAGCGGAAGCGACCAAGTGTGGCAATTAGCATCAAATCAAGCCTTTCACACACACAGCCACAAACACGCGCTCAACGAATTGCGCTGCGCGGCACAATGAGTTCTTCAAGTGAGCTGCGCGTTAGTGGCGCGTTCAGCTCCGGTCTGCAGCTATTGCTCCTGTTGGCCGTTATACAAGGTGAGTTGGCAAAAGCATTGTTGCATACTTTAATTTAATTTGACTTTGAAACATCCCCGTTCTACACAAATAGCGTCACCTCAGTGCTTCGCGGCAGTGAGTGTGTGTGTGTGATATCTTATTTGTGTTTTTCATTCTCGGCTTTGTGTTTGACAATTGTTTTTAATTTGAATTTTCGCAACGACAAAAGCTGGCTGTCGCTCTGTCAACGGTGTTCCGGTGAATTGCTGTGTTGGTTTTCCATAACGGTATTGCTTCAATCACTTCTTTTTCAGCTGCGCGCAGTTTTCGCGCGCTCCGTTTCGTCAATTTCAACAGAAGTTATGTGTTTGTATGCATGTATGTGTGTAGGTGTGAAGGCAACAGCGAAAGTTTTCAATTGTTTTGTCTGAATGCGAATTTGTTTCGCTTGGAATTTTTCCATTTAACAAAGAATTCGAATTAGTTGTGTAAGAAATATTAATTTGCGAGAATTACGCAGTGTCAGGCGGCTAACAAAACATGGTGGGAAATTCCCTGATTAAATTCAGCTTTCGAGAAGAAAGCGATTGGATGAGACAATGCCAATTGTTAGCAAGTACAACTACAATATTTTATTTATTTTTTTTGTAAATAATTCTGAATGTGCCTTGCTCATCTAAATGTTTCGTTTCCGATTCGTCACTGCGGTGCCCACCAAAAAATTTAAAACTGCAAGCAACAACAAAATTTTCGATTTGAAGAAGAAACTGTGTAAATAAATTATAAGAGTAATGGAACCTCTTTTCCTTATAGCCTTGTCAGGGTTCTTGAGTTTAATTGACTTCAACTCTCTTAATTTTAGCGTTTGTAAAATAATATATAACAGTATATTACTTCAATTACTTTATTATCTCAATTTCTTAAACCTTTCAGTTTAGAGTCTTTAAATAACTAGTTATCTTAAATCAAATAAGCCTGTCATAGTTCAGAGGGTAATTGGTTTTGTGCATTGCTGAAAAATAATTCTTTAGTGGCACTTCTTCTTAATTTTTGTTTTTCAAAAGTAAAATATGCATAAATATCATAATTTGGCGATTATCTAACGTTATATTAGGTCTAGTAAAGAGAAATCTATTACTTTTGTATATAATTATTTGGAAGACATTGCAATGTGTCCCTATCCACCTTAGCTCTTTCCCCCATTTCTCTGCAAGGAAATACAATGTTGGGGACCAAAGAATACTTGGTAACCTAACGTAAATAAATTTCAACTGTAAGCTTCCTAAAACCTTTCAACAATGAAAACTTTTCAACAGCTGGCAACGTTCTAGGGTTATTTGTGTTAACAATTAGTGGAGCGTATTACACTGAATCATCCAAAAGCATTATTCAAATCAGTTAAATTTTCAATATAAGAACAGAATTCTACATCTAAGTGTTAGGTATACAACACTCAACTCTAATTATTTGATACAATTTTAATTATTTCTTTTATTTCCTTAATTGGTAATATTAGTAAAGGCATAAATTGAAATCTTATCCGTTATAGTCATTCATTACGGCTAATTGGCTACATCCCAACGTTTATTAATGAACATTTTATTTTAGTATTTTCCAATAATTTTCTCAAATTTCAAATATTTTTAAACTTAATTAAACATTCTTCATTAGTTTATAACCCCAAATTATGCTTATATAAAAATATATATGGATAATGTAAATGCGCGAAAGCTTAATTGCTTTTAAAAAATTATTTCTGTGAAATTTTTCACTTACATTTGTGTGCTTAAAAACAGCATAAGGCATTCAGTTCGCTCATTATGATAAGCAATTAATTGTTGCTTTCATTTTTTTAGTTTTGTTTTATGGTTATTTATATGCTAATAGCACGACTTAGCGCTGCTTTAAACATGCAACAACTTTGGCAGGCGGATTAAGCAAATAATTTCTATTTATAATTATTGAGTGCAATATCGAAAAATTTCCGCAAATTGCGCTTTCATTGGAAAAACGCTTAATTATATGCAATTAAATTGGTTTGTAAAAAACGTCAAATACCGTTAGTTTTTCCACTCCTTATTTGGTTTTTACGCGGCTGTGATTTTTGCCGCCTGTACGCCTTTGTACATACAAATCTAGTCAATACCGTCCGTATTTATTTTTTATTGGTATTTCTAGCCGCGTTGAGTTGAGTTGCGGTTGAATTTGCTGATTGTTGAAATGTGGAAAATTGTTCTTTGCGATTTTTGCGCTTTTTATGTTGTTCTATTCAGCAGCCGCATAACTTTTTCACGTGACATAATTTTCATAGAAAGTGCAATTCTGCGTTAGCAACACTGAAAGGACCGTTGCCCTTGAGCTGTTGTGAATTGAGTTATTCATTTTGAGATAGTGGGTGTGGCGTTTAGGGCGCATCTGAATTTGATATACATTTTATTTATTTAAGCTTCACTTGAATAAGTTAAGCTTAAAATGGTATGCAACAAAGTATTCAAAATGGAATTTAATAAAAAAAAAAAATATATGTATATATATATATAGAAAATAATTATAGCAACAGTAAATAGTAAAAGCTTGGGTATATGCAAATATTAGTATCAAGCTTGGAAGCCTATAAAAGTCAGCATTAAGACCAATATTTTATTTCAAAACTTTTTATACATACTCTTTCCAAAATACCTTTATTTTGAGGTGTATGGGTTCCAAGATGTGAGAAAACTGGTTTCACCAACGCTTTTGAATGAATGCTAATATATTCTAATTTCTAAAATTATTAAGTTTTCAAATATCCACTATATCTGATAGGAGTATAAGTATTGAAAATAATTAATAATGTAAACCGACTGGCAAAAGTTCAAGTTAAACGAGGAAATACTTTTTCAAATTTAAGGGGCACACTTAGTGTGAAATTTAAAGCTTTTTTCATATTTTGATGAGTTAACAGCCATATACGAGATATTGTATTAAAATTTTGAATCGATATCTCAAATAGTTTCTGAGTTATAGCCTTTAAAGTATAGCCATTCAGTTCTATCAGAAACCACAGTTTTTTTAAATATGCTTGAGCGATTACTCGAAGAAAATTAGCCGATAACTTTCAATTCGATCTCCATACAACGACCTATCCGTTATTCGATCTGATCAAAAATCGAATTTGGCAAAAAAAAAGTTCGAGTAAATTCCTGTGTCAATTTGTGATTTTTGATCGACCGTAGATCATTGTTCGGATAATATCTTCTGCTAGAGAGTTTTCGTTTTTCAGGTTTCACCCACGGAAGAGGCCGGAATCTTTGCAGCAGCGGAAGACCGCTTATTAGCGCTGCCGATTTTAAAGTTTTTACTAATGGAACACCCTTGGTTCGCATTACTGTGTTGACGTATAAATGCATTGACAATTAAAATGCATCAAAGGTATAAAACTAAACTTAAAGCTGGTTTAATTGAGAGCATGTGAAGCACATTGCCACTGTGCCACAACTTTTTTCACATGAAAAAGTGCAGGAAAGTAGAGCAATTGCAAAAAGTGGAAACAATCTTGTGAATTCCTCTACACCTCAATGCGTATTGATGCGCACACACTCACACATTGAATCCCCCCGCACACACGAAGCATTTATGTATGCGACTATTCATGGCGAATAGAGCGGCTTAGACTTACGCTCAACTTTGACGACTTGCGATGAAGCGCAAAGGACATTGAAATGGACCAGACAAAGGATTGATGCGAGCAGAGCAGCGAAATTGTTTACAATAAAACAGAAAATGGGAGAAGTGAAAAAAATAGAACAAGTGCAAAAATATGCTGGCAGTTGCGCGCATAAAGTGTAGTGGTTATGGAGCATAGAAAAACATGAGTAACATAAAAAAGACACTTGAAAACTATCAAAGAAAGGGCAAATGCGCACGATTGGACCAGCTGTAGCGTCAAGCGGTGAAGGTTTTGTAACGAGTGCGTTTGCTGTGTGCTAGGGTAGTGGGGTGGGCAACATTTTGCTTGGGCGTTGTTGAAAGAGCAAGAGAAAGAGGAAGCGGAGAAAGAGAGAGATGAATTTATGCTTTTTATTGTCGGTTTGTATGCAAATGACACTGACATGCAAATCTCGAAATGTTCAACTTGCAACTTGAAACATGTGTGTGTCTCTGTGTGTGTGGTTGCGTGTGTGCCCCATACTCGCCCATTGTTGTGCATTAGTGTGAATGCCTGAGGTGGCAGCAAGTGAAGCATCAAAACACAAGTGCGCACTACACTGGTCAGGGCCGACACACTTGTCCTCCCTCGGCAGTTTCTGCCGCTGCCGCTGCCGTTGCCGCTTCTGTTGCTGCTGTACTCGAGCGCTTACGCCTGAATGGCAAGTCGTGTTATCTGGTCCACAATAAATATTAAATAAAAACTCGTAGGCAATGGAGAAAAAAATGAAATGTAGATAAAAATTGTGCGAACGAATGCAGCTCCGTTTGCAATATTTATGAGACGCCGCGCGCTGGCCCATATCACTCACTCAACGCGCGCATGTATTGGACGCTGAAGTGCGCCTAAATGCATGCTGCGGTCGCAAGTACGCTAGACTAATGCTACTGTTTGTGGCGCACATGCATATTCAAATTTGTGACTGTATATGTGTTCTAATAACGACTAGCTGGGAGCTGCACTAAGCTTCTGTCATTGCGTCCAGTTATGGGAATAAACCCGCTTTCACAAGTGGATCTGCGCTATTTAGCGTTTAATTTTACAGAAGTAACAAAGTATATTTGAGAGTTAAATGGCTCTGCTGCGAGTGCAATAAAATTGTGCTTTTCTCTTTTGTCTCTTCTCTCAATTTGTGAATGACTAAATTTACTATTTAAAACATATATTCTGGTGACCATATCATTTATTTAATTTAAATGCTTTCAGATGACGCATATCCGGTTGGTTTTGGTCTTTATAAATTTACTTTAAGTATTATATACACAAATTGCTCATCACCTACGTCCAATTGTCTCTTCTACACCATTTCTCTCTTTAAGTACTTTTGCCCAAATAACTCGTCATATAAAAA